TTTTTTTTCGCAAAACTTGTGCAATTCGTTTCCTTATGTCAAAGGCTTTCCAAAAAGCTAAATTTTATCAAAATCTGACAAGTGGAAGTGGGGCAAAACAAAGATTTAGTTTGTTACAGGAAAACGCAGTTATTCAGGCAGTGTGCCTGAGGACTCAGGCAGTTAGTATTAAAGCCCGGTTTTAGGCCTAAAGGGAGGGCTTTAGGTATGTAGGAAAAGTCAGAAAATTTCAACAGCCTCAGACCCCCTCCCCCCCCCAGCAGGAATAGGGTTAAACAAAACTAAATAGTTCTTCTTTATACTCAGATTAAATCAATATAATTCTCCATTAAACTAAAAGATGATAAATTGGCAGCTTTCAAGATGATACAACAGAACATTAGAAAACAACAACTTTTCTTTTTAGGAAAGATTTCAAGCTGCTGCCTTGATATCAGTCAACAGAGCAAATTGGCTTACAAGGTAAATAATAAATTATTTTATGATCAATGGAATATTAATTATTAGTTGTTTAACAACCCATCATCATTGAATCTAACAATCTTGAGGTAGAATTTTGTCTAAAATACATTATTTTAAGAATATAATGGAAAGGAAAAATAATTAAAAGTAGCAAGGAACCAAACAAAAGAAAAAAAGACTAAAATAATTCCATACAGTCGTCTTTGAAGTCTCATAATTGTTAACAAATCATAAAGATTTAGCTATAGTTCATTTTCCGTGAGGACACATTAAAAATAAACATATTTGTTTGGACTATTTTTTTAACAGATATCTATATTTTAGGAGGGACGTTCTGTATTTCTTTAATACCTATAATTCCATATTTAAATGAACTACATGTTTTCTCATTTTATAGGACTACCCGTGTCTGTATCAAGCACTGTATTTTTTTTGAAGGACTACCCATGCCCTGTATCCAACAATGTATTATTTTGTAGTACTACCCATGTCTGTATCCAACACTGTATTATTTTGTAGGACTACCCATGTCTGTATCCAACACTGTATTATTTTATACAACTCCCATGTCTGTATCCAACACTGTATTATTTTGAGCGGTGAAAGAGAATGCAGTTTGTCCCTCGATAATCAGGATGAATGGGTTTTGTTAACCTTCAATCTACAATGTATCTGCAGGCTCGGTAGACCTATTCTTCTTGATAGAGAGAAACCCTGAGTTTACAGCTAATAAGAACTTGGATTTGAATAATCTAGGAGTTGTGGGTTGCCAAGAGGTTAAATTTATGCAAGCTCTAGCCAGAGATGGACATCCTTTGCGTGAACAAACAGAATTTTTGAGAATGCATGAATTTAAAAAAAAAACAATGGACGACAGCTTGGATCGTTCAGAGAAAAGAAAAAACTCATATTTTAAAATGAACGAAAAAAAACTAAAATTAACGAATTAAAATTGATTAAACGATCTAAATCTTTCATGAACAATTTCGAAATTGTTCGTTCAAAAAAACATGAAAAAACAATATACTTTTTTACTGATAGAACAGTTTTTTCAAACAAACTTTAAAAAGCCCTTTTTTGCTGAACGAACTATTTTTTGGGAAAAAACAACCGTTTATTTTGTAAATAAAAAACAACGATATTTTTTTTAACAAAAAAACTATTTTTTTAAAGATTTAAAAAATGAGTCATTAAAATGATGAACGAACGAAATGAAAAAAGCCGAACTCGCCCATCTCTAGCTCTAGCATTCTCATTAATATACTCAGCGTCTACTCAAATAATATCAGAAAGTGACAAAGCTGCTTATCAAAGAAGCTAAACGTAACAAAGCTTCACATCAAAAATTTAAAGTTTCTAGGCAGCGATTTGGATAATTCGTGATAAGTGGGTACCAAGAGTAAGCAGCTATTGGCGGCTTAAAATAATAAAATTGCTGGAGATCTGTTGGGACAAAATATGTCATAAAATGGTTCTTTTGGACATCCCGGTTCATTGGGACATCCTGGCTCATTGGGACATTCTGGTTCATTGAAAAAACATCCTGATCTTGATTCAAGGGTACATCCTGGTTTAATGGGACATCCTGGTTCCTTGAGACTTCCTGGATCATTGAGACATCCTGGTTCATTGGGACATCCTGGTTCATTGGGAGATCCTGGTTCATTGAGACATCCTAGTTCAAGGGTACATCCTGGTTCATGGGGACATCCTGGTTCATTAGAACATCCTGGTTCATTTGGGACTTCCTGGCTTTTCGGGACATCCTTGTTCATTGGGACATCCTGTTCATTGGGACATCCTGTTCATTGGGACATCCTGGTTCAAGGCTACATCCTGGGTTATTGGGACATCCTGAATCATTGGGACGTCCTGGTTCAGGGTTACATCCTGGTTCATTGGGACATCCTGGTACGAGGCATCATCCTGGTTCATTGGGACATCATGGTTCATTTGGACATCCTGCTTTTCTAGGACATCCTGGTTCATCGGGACATCCTGGTTCAAGGGTACATCATTGTTCATTGGGACATCATGGTTCATTGGGACATCCTAGTTCAAGGGTAAATCCTGGTTCATGGGAACATCCTGGTTCATTGGGACTTCCTGGTTTTTCGGGACATCCTTGTTCATTGGGACATCCTGGTTCAAGGCTACATCCTGGTTTATTGGGACATCCTGGTTTAGGGTTACATCCTGGTTCATTGGGACATCCGGGTACGAGGAATCACCCTGGTTCATTGGGACATCATGGTTCATTTGGACATCCTGGTTCATCGGGACATCCTGGTTCAAGAGTATATCCTGGTTTATTGGGACATCCTGGTTCAGGGTTACATCCTGGTTCATTGGGACATCCGGGTACGAGGAATCATCCTGGTTCATTGGGACATCTTGGTTCATTTGGACATCCTGTTTCATCGGGACATCCTGGTTCAAGGGTACATCCTGGTTCATTGGGACATCCTGGTTCATTGGGACATCCTTGTTCATTGGGGTATCCTGATTCAAGGCTACATCCTGGTTCATTGGGTCATCGTGGTTCATTGAGACCTTCTGGTTCATTGGGACATCCTGGTCCACACACAAAACATTGTCCAGGAAATTGTTCTTTACTTTTTACTGTTCAGCAATATCCAAGATTTCCGATATGTTTTAGACAAGTTGTTTCTACATCTCTATTTGTGGTTCTAAAGGTTGCCAGCAGGGATAATCTACCTAAATATTGCAACCTGGGGCAATTCAGGGATTACCAAGCAAAACATTTTTAGCTTTGCTCATCTGAAAAAACACTTTGGATAATCAAAGCCATCCCACCCTAAAATTACATGACCCGAGCCGGTACAACATGTACTATATTGTATATGCATTCAGTCGTTCTATGCAGTCTGGAATAGCCTATATAAAGTCGACCCAGCACATTTTAGCAATAAATTTACCATGTCAAGATCACAGTGAAGGGGATCTCTCCGTTCAATAAATGGGCATCAACTTCGTTAAAGGCACCCTAGCCTAGTATATGTAAATATATATAATAATGTATCATAATATAATGTATATATATGTTTACGCATACGATGTTACGAACTGTGTAACTAATACAGTAAGAGCCAAAAAACTTTGGAATAGGAAGACGACTTTTAAATTCAAGTTATGACTTTTGAATAGTCTAATGAATATGGGACACAACAATTGTTCAGTGTGCAGTGTACAAAAAATCCATTTTACTTAGTAAGTAATTCAATAAGTTACTATTAAAACTGCCTGTTTCAAGCAACATGAAATACAATCAGTTATTGCTTTAAGGTCGTCTTCCTATTCCACAACTTTCTGGTTCTCACTGTACCAACTGTTTAGAATGTGGAAGTATGGTGAATCTACAATGGAGAGCTCTCAATATCTACTCCACAGTGCACTCATAGAGATGATGGAGTTAAACAATGATATTTTTGCTGCAGGTAACATTTTTAAATGATTAAAGGGACTGTAAGCGTATTTTCAAATGACCCTCCCTGCAAAGATGGCATTGCCCGATACCCTAATCAAGTAGGAATTAGATATCAATGGTTTTTTTCAATACTTATTTTTAATTTCTCTACGATTGGCTTGCGTATTTTTATTTCAGGAAAACATGTCGGAATTTTCCGATTTAAGAACTATTAACCTAGAAAAACGACGATATTTTCCAATTTATTTATCAGATATAGGTCTCAAGGGTACTGCTGTGAATCAGATAAAGGTCTCAAGGGTACTGTTGTGAATAGGGCATTGAAGAAACAATTAAATCCCTTAAATCATTAAAAAAATTTAAAGTTGAACTATAGATAGTTTTGTGGCAGATTTTTAAATTAATTGATGAAATTGTTAATTGATTAATGAAAATCTTTTATAAGAAATGTATGTAATTGCTAATTTTTTATTAGTTTTTGAATGCAAAATTAATTCTTTTTATGATTCGTTTAACATAACTTAAGATTTTATGTTTGTAATTAAACTTTAACGATGATGTATCTACAGTAGTGAAGGGTAAAAAAATTTCGTTAAAAGGTTGAATTTTGATTATAGCGTAAAAAAGAAATACTTTTAATATCGCTAAAAAAATCATACGGTTTCAGGGAAACTGGAATCTAAGAAAAATAAGACTAAAACATTCTATGCAATCGTCTATGGATTATAATCCTTTTGTGGATAACCTGAATATCAACAATGGGGCACCTATCAATCTGTGGACAAGAGAACGACATTTTGACAATCTTATATGAACTTCCTATTGTTGGAAAGCTAATCCATTTTGTTCAGATTTTAAAGGGTACCTTTGTAAATCTCAGGGTCACTTAAAATTACGACAAAAGTCTCTTTAAAGAAAGATGAAGATATTTGCCCTTTAATTTCAAATATTTCTCTAAGAACATAACATGACCAGAATCCAGACTAAGTTTGAATTTATATATAAAAGAAACAGATTTACTAAATCCCACTTAATCCATCCGCAGAGAGTTTCATGGATATATTGCAACATTTTAGCAATACCTTGCAGATTTCATGAAATAAATAAATAGTAGAAATCAACACCAGAGAGATGCTTTCGGAGTTTAACGTTACAATTCTAAGAAAAGCATAATGAAGTACAACAAGATAGGAGACTAATAGCTTTTACAGTTTTCTGGTTCTCACGGTACAGTATTGTGCATTCGAGTCTTGTTTTTAAAACTACGTTGAAATATTTATCAAATACAACATAGATAAAAGGCATAAAGAAGCTTTTAGAAAAAATTTGGTTAACTTTTCTTTCAAAAAATATTACTTTATCAAAACTATTGTAAAGTTTAGAAAATACAAACACTTGCCATAAACTTCAATTTTCTAATTGCATATTATATTGATAATTGAAAATACATGAATTCATGGTTTGAAATATGCCCTAGACCATTTGGTTGCAAAGATGTAGGCGAGTGTTAAATTATTTATTTGATTAGGTAACTGCTATGATAAAAAACAATATGGATCCTTCTTCCTCTTCTGCCCGTATGCCTACCGTGTTCATAACAACTCTATTCTTGCAAAGGAATTCATATTTTATAAATTAACTAGCCAAAGTGCCCGGCGTTTGAAATTTAAAGTGCCTTTTTTTTCTGGAGCTATCAAACTGAAAGGTACCACTGAAAATGTAAAATGCATGATTCAACAATTTTTTTTTCCGCACGGTAAACTGATGGTCCTGATTAAAGCACCAGGGTCTTAACTTTAGAACCCATTTTCCTATCAAAAGTATATTTATCGTATTTGCTATTATACACTTTTTGGAGGCAATGTATTTGAAATTTTAAGAATTAAGCTTTCTCGCGCTTTTTTGACAAATTTTAAATAAGAGATCAAAGAATGACTTAAAATATTCTAATATTCTAATATTCTAATGCACTTCGTTGTAATTAGTTTTGCGTGTAACGCAGTAAACAAAATGAAAGCTATAGCTTGAAGGATGATCTACAAAATTTATGATGGATTTTCTAAAGAAAGGAAATGATTTTTTGCCACAAACTCAGTTTTTTAAATCTTGATATCTTTACAACCCGATGTCTGAGACCTTTAATATTACAAACTTTATGTTTTGTTTAATAAAATAATCTAAGTTTGAGAAATTAAAGGTTTACGCCATAAGGTTACAAAGTTATAGAGAGAAGATAAAGATTTGGTGAAAAAAGCTTCGGAAATCTAGTTCTATTTTGCCAATAACCGTTGCCCCTCAAATGTTAAAACTGATATTTTTTCACTTAAACCTATAAAGGCTGTGGGGGGTCTGAATCTGTGCATAACCTNAGAATATAGTTTTTAGATCTTTAGCTTTAGTCACAAAAAAGGTATGGGCTATTTTAGATTTTTTTTTACACAGACCAGACTTTTTACCGCCTTGTACCCCACCCCATGAATTAGAAAAATTCTTTAAATTTCTATTCATTAAAAGACAAAAAAATTCGCAAGGATTGTGTTCAAAAATGAAAGTGCTAAGGTAAACAACCAGGGGGGGCTTCAAACGCCCCCCCCCTTCTCCAGCCTGTTTAGGGTTAAGCCAACACTATTACCATTTTTAAAGTTTTATCATTTTGGTGTTAAACATAAAATTAATATGTATCTAGCCCAAGGGAACGTTTATCCTACTTTTATAGTTAAGAGTGTTATTATATAGCTTTCTTAAATCTAATGGAAAATTTGAAACTACTTACAGGACCAAAATATCTATTTGGTATTTAAAACACATTTTTTATCCAACATAATTTTCATTTTTAGGAAATTTACTAATTTTATTTATTTTTTTGTATTATCAGATAAGGTTCAATATTTTATATTTTAATATAATCTTTATCATTCAAAATTTATTTGAATGAATACCAAAGGGAATGTAGACAATGTTTCAAGTGAACCTCTATTTTTACAGTGGCATGTCCGATTTACAGCGGTACTCAATAAACCTTTGTCTGATCAGGGATGGATAACACGCACCTCTCACCCTTTTGTAAAACTAAATTCAACCTAAAGTCTGACCGCGTCAACATTGTTGCACCGGCTAGTCCTATTTAGTGTCTACTTTGTTTACCAAAATGTCCGGGCGATACAGTACAAACTGGGACCGGAAAGATTGACCAGGCTCGGAAATTCAAATGTACTACGGCTGCGCTGCCCGTGATAAGCTTTTTCTAGCTAAAAAATGTTGATTTGACAAAAGTTTCAAGAATATTGTTGTGAATCGACAAACTTGAAACTACGTGTGTCTCTTTAATTACTAGATAAATTACAAGTTTAAAAAAATTTCAGTCTTTGCGAAAAAGAACTCAGAAATGATGTTGAAAATGCTGCTGGTGAAGAAAGGATATCTTGTGGAAGTCTTTTAATTTTAAACTTAATATCGGTTAAGTAATTAAAAGATGATATATTTCACAAATCCAATATTGTTTCCAATATCTTTAAATTTAACTTTACTTAATTAAAATCCAAGCTTATTATCAGACATGAGGTTGTAACTTTTGTATATAGATAACTTGATTTTTAAAACTTTTAAAGAACCCAATGTCGTAGACTCTATATATTTTAAGCTATAAATTCTGTTTGATCAATCAGGTTTTTAATATATCGTGATTTGAGTTTGTGGCAAAGACTCAATCCCTTCGTGTTACCAGAATACATTATTACTGTCTAAGCTTGTTGTTTTCGTATTTACCTGGCGCTTTAACCATCAAGGGATTTACACTTATGTAAACATGAATAGATGTAATGTTATCAACTATCTGATTATTTTATCAAGGATTTTTTTGCCAAATGCTCTGCAAATTTTTAGATTTCTTGTATTGTGAACTTTCATATTTAGTTATTTTGAGAAAGAAAAGTGTTCAATTTCTTGAAAAATTTACACATATATATATTATAAATCATGAATGTGCTTCCAGGACGAAATTTAATAAATTTAAGAAAGTTGACTCAACTATTTACCGCCGGTTCAACTATTTCTCAAGTGTTTAATGGCTCAAATTCTGAATAACCGAATCAAAGATCAATATTTTTTTATTTTTTTTTTGAACAATCCTAATGTATTGTTAGCTAATGCAGACAAAGGGACTGAGTTTTTGTCACGAACTGAATTATTATATTTCAAAATTCATAAGCTTTAAATTGAACCAGCCATAAAGCTCCATGATAGAATTCCATCTCTAAACGTAACCGTATACAATATACATATTTCAACGACTTCTCGCAATTCATTAAATTTGTTTTGTAGATATAATTTTGAATATAAACACAAAATTTGCAAAAAGTGTAAAAACAAGGATATTTTGTAAACGAGGTAGCGCTTTCTGTAATTCGTTTAATTTAAAGTAAATATCGGAAAAGTAATTAAAAGATGATCTATTTCACAAATCCAAGATTTTAAAACATTGAAAAAAAAAACATATCTTCAAAAAAATCCATAAAAAAGCTGACTTTCTTATTGGCTGCGTACATATTTCTTTGGCTTTTGATTGGTGGATGTTTCCAGAAGACGCTGAACTTTCAGATAATCAATCTTTCAATTCGTGGGACAACAACATTTAATGGATTATAGCTCTCTGAACGGATTAACAATTTATAAAGTCCAACCTCTGTGCATGCAGTTTATAAGCCTAGTTAGAATAAAATGGTGAATCCAGGATTTGGCACTGGAGTATAACTATCTGAGTAATACCTCAGTCTGGTTCTTTGATGCTAGACAAAGAGCAGAACAAATTGTAAGGGACAACTATCCAATCCGACGAGGTAGGTTTTTAGCATTTGTCCTTAACAGATATAAATGATCAAGAATAGCATTATATATATTTATGTGTTTATACAAAAATCACTAAAACATTGTGTTTATGAAAGTAACTTGCAAAAATCCATTTAATTTTTCATGATTCTTACAACATCGAAAAGGAATTAAATCATTCCACAGATCTTCATTACATGGAGATCAATGCTTGATTCTAAGTTTTACAAAACAAAAATCTAACTTCAGAACACATTTTTTTATTCACAAAATATTCAATTTAAGAAAAATTAATGGAACTTAACAAGAGATTGAAATCCCAATTCCTCTTTTTGAAAAATGTTAAAAATTACAAAAAGAAACTAAACCATATCCCTCCTGGATACGCTGACCCTTCCTCTAAATCCCATGTTTAATATCCAAATATGACAAATGATACATCACTGGAAAGCTCTTGGGCTCTACTTTTGGAATTTGCAAAAAATAAGCAAATTTTAAAAAATTGATTTTTTTGTAAAATCCAGTTATTTAGTAAAAATATTTGCCAAAAAAATGTCCAAAAATGATAAAATATAAATTTTTGAAAAGCCCTTGACCATGTCATTTTAAATAACTTGATGTGTAATTAAGAAAAATTGATAATGTGCAAATTTCTTTCACATGTTGTTTGCAAATATTTGTTTGCAAAACTTGTGCTATCCGTTTTCTTTCCAAACAACTAAAAATCATCTGACAACTGAAAGTGGGTCAAAACAAAGATTTAGTTTGTTAAGGAAAAAGTAGTCATTCAGGCACTGTGCCCGAGGACTCAGGCAGTTAGTATAAAAGCCCGGTTTTAGACTTAAAGGGAGGGTTATGGGCATAGAGAATAGAATATATTAGAGGGGAATTTAGACAATCTCTCGAGTCTAAAACTAAAGAATGCGCGAATTTTAAGTTCGAGGTTAAAAGTTCTGTAAAATAATGAGTAGCTACTTAAATATTAAACTTTCTCAATTTTAAATTTGAATTTCCCGGGAAAAATCTGAACCAATCAGAGAAAAGGATTTAAAGAATTATTACGTAAGTATCGGTATTCGGTAATCAGCTGTTTTTTAAATTTTATGTTACGTGACGAAAAACAAAACATATTTCTAGTCAAAACCGTATTTTGGGTTTACGTGCAAACATTAATTAATCTAAGGTGTGAAATTTATTGAATTAAGGTTTTTACTTTTAAATATATCGTAATTAGTTGAATGCCTCTTACCGCTGAATGATGATAGACAAATAGGGATTGCGGGATTTCAAGATTTTAACCACGTGTTTAAATTTTAACTCGTCGATTTCGGCGAGTTAAATATTTAACCACAGGGTTAAATATTTAACCTCACGGTTAAAGTTCAGGTTTAAATTAAGTCAGAAGTGGCATTTTACCATGAACTTAAAATTTAAGTCGAAGCTTTTCGTTCTTTAGTTTTGGACTTCGGTATGAATTTTTTCAGTTCCTTTCAGCCTGAAAGGGAGTTCAATGTGTACTAATCATGAAATTAAATTTATAGAATTAATTAGGTAAAAAAAAATCATTATTTGATTTATAGTTATAACGGAAAATCATCGCTTGCAAAGTGAAAGGCATATAGAGTCTATGTGAAATGATCATTAGTCAATTTTGAAACCAGCCTATTTTATAATTTGATTTTCTATTAATACTAATTTTAGATTTTCTATAAAATGATGTTCCAGGGCCCAAAAGGTTATATAGCACAAATATGTGAAGTACACCTGCAGTATGGAAACAGTACAATAAAATGGCCGTGTTACACTTTTTTCGAGTAAATTCCCCTCTAATATATATTCTATTCTCTATGGTTAGGAAAAGTCAGAAATGTTCAACAGCCTCAGACCAATACTTCTGACTTATGTAAAAAAACTACGGGGGGGGGGTCAACTTTCCCCCCATCCCCCCAGCAGGAACAGGGTTAAATATGGATCATGCACTCCAAAGTATTTGCTTTATGTGGGCCTAATATCTAACGCAGAGGTCCAAAGCTGTTCCAGTAATTTCCGATAAATTTTACTTTCATAATCTCTAGAATGGAGTCAACAGGATTTTACAATTTTCTGAAGAAAACATAGTTTTACTGCTTTAAATTTGTTTTTTTCGTGCGGCTCATAGATCCGTAACAGAAAAAAGATTGGTCTGGATTTCAAATTTAGACCAGGAAAAATTTTTGTTTCTTTAAAATTTTACTTTTATAATAGTTTTTGAATTTACTTTATTTAGCATTTTTCTGTGACTGAATATGATATTTACAAATACATCAAAAAGTTTAAGATCATATTTCCCTTTATAGATTATTTATACTGTACAAAACAAACAAAACGTATAAACAATTTTAAAGGAATTTCTACATTTTTGTATTCGATCTAGATGTTGCACGCACCTCTTCCCCTTAAGTAAAAGTAAATTCAACATATATGAAGCATAAAGTCTGACCTCGTCAACTGGCTAGTACGGTTGATTGTCTGCTTTATTAACCCAATGTCCGTGCGGTACAGTACAAACTAGGACCGGAAAGATTGACCCGGCTCTGAAATTCAAATGTACTACGGCTGCCCATGGTTAATGTATTGTTAGCTTATTGCAATTTATTGCCTAATTTTAATTGCAATTTGAAAGTTTATGCATTATTACATAAGTTAGTTTTAAACTCATAATTAATCAATTAATATAAATGTGCAGTGCTTGTCAATTTGTTTCCACTGCTATGTTTGGATCTCTGAAATGTTAAATCTATATTCTTTTACATTGCATGTTTTTTTTAAATCAAATAAACCATACTAAGATATAAAGATAATGCTACATTTCTTGAACAAAAAAATATTTGTCAATTCTATTTCATATTTACCTTTTTCTCAAGCAATCTAACCAAATATATTTCAGGCTTTCATGCAGTTCATGTAAACCTAAGCAATACAGTTCTCATGGAGAAGGAAATATTGGCTGTACAATACAAGTAAGTTAATGGTGTAGAGATATAAACCACAAGCAGTGGATCATTTATTCCATCAGGACATTTTTCTGGCAGGAAACACTGACAAACAATACATTCTTGTCATGTAAAGTGAACAAATCTAGTTCAGAATCTTAATATCATAACACAGTTCTTCTTCATATTATCTACTACTATGCACTGTGCAATTTTTCCTTTCATAACTTTATTGACACTTTTGCTTCCTTGCCTTTGATATGTTCTTGATCTTTTTTCCTAGTTTTAAAGCTAACCTAAATAAAGTATAAAATTAAAAATAATAAATACATTTTTAATTTGTTGTAGATTTTCACTATGGGTTAAGTACACTGTACAAATGATAGTGTCAAGAGTCAGACTATTAAAATTATTTGGAATAATTGTTAAAATCTTTCACTTTAAAGTAATGATTTTATCTTTTATTAATAAAAGAGTAATTTAAAATGTACTCTAATTCTTTAATATCTGTCTCTTTGCCACCTGATTGACCTTTCATATTTCAAACTATGAATTATGTTAGATCAAATAGCCTTAGTTTAGAATATCAAAGGTTTCAATCATCAAGTTGTAAAGATTAAGGGATAACAAATTTGAGTTTGTGACAAATACCCATTTACTTTATGTTAAATTTGGTTTGAAAAAATTAGACTTTTCTTCCATTATCGTCATTATACCACCATGCAGAAAACAAATATATGAGCAGTAGCAATGTTTCCTGAGATTTACGAGTTTAAAAATTTATTTAAGACCTTCAGGAAAAAAAATTGGTTGATACAAATAATGTTGTATTCTTAGAAAAAAACAGAAATGATAAAGTGGATCTCCCATCATAGAGAATACAAATTTTAATTCATGTCAGAATTTGTTTCAAAAAAGGATCAAATACTGTTCTTTGGCCTGTAGGTTAATGTATATCTATTTACTGACTGATTTTCTGTTTAGGGATGGTCAGTGGACTAAACCCTATTACGACTGTGGAGGTGGGAATATCTGGATGATGACCTACACAGTTCCATTCTTTGGATATAATTCAGAAAAAGAAGAATACTTTTTCAAGTAGGTTTGGACAAAAGATAGACGTATGTATCTTTTGGTTGAAGTGGACCATAATCCTTATTCTTCCTTCATTCTTTCACCAACTTTTTCTTTATATTTGCTGATTTATTTATTTCATAATATGAGAGGTACCAATGCATAAGTTTCTAGGATTAATTTTAACTATTTATATCTTTACTCATTTATTTTTTTATTTCACTGCAAACAAGTGGTTTCTGTATGCATATTTTATTGATAGATAATTTTTCATCAAAAATGCCACTGTTAACCAATCCCTAATAAGTCTTTGACAGGAGCCCGCGATTTGAAAGCTTCGGCTCAAGTCGTAATTCCTTAAACCCAACTTTAAGACCCAATCTTCGACCCAACTCAAACGACAGCTTGTGTCACATGATTGACAGCTGCAAGATCTTCGGCTCGACTTAAGGAGTTAGGCCCAACGAAAATAAAACTGACCTTGATTGGTTTTAGTGGAGAATAAGGCTCAATGTTCCGTCTTGTTCTCATAAAAACTGGGAATGCGCTAATTTCTACCATGAAAATCTGCCAAATAGAATATTAAACCTGTTTTTTTAATACAACTCTAGCTGTGGAAAATAAAATGCAGCTTTAATCTGAAAGCTCAAGCCGTAAATAAGGTCCAACGACAGCTTAGACCCAAGCCGTATTTCCCCGAATTTTTTAAATGGCGGGCTAGGGATAAACCGTGTTCCGATTTGTTGGTTTTGCAATATGACATATAGATGGACCAACAACTTGCAAATATAGAAGGAATAAGTGAACCTTCCCTTATTGTTATAAATCTAATTCTAATACACTGAATTACGAATTGGTACTTCAAATAGGTCTTATTTGCCACAGTTGTTTCATCTTATGATAGTGTCTGATCCAATCAGAGTTCACTCATGTGCACCATTAGAAATTGCAACAGCGTTAACATCTATGTATCTATTTATTTATCTCATCATTCAATTAGAAATGAATCCTAAAATCAATGATAAACATGAAACAGGAATGTCTACTGTGACAAGGATGGATTAGGATTTTCTTTAATTTTGTACGGACTATGGTATGGCCCTTAGGGCCTGGTGTTGTTTAAGGCCTATGTTTCTCAAAGTGTTGAGGTAATGCTAAATGTAAAACTAAAATACAGTGTAGAATATTGTACCTAGATGCAAAGTAAATTGATTTTATTGTTTATCTATTGATAAACTATATTTTCCATTTTCACCTTAGCACAGCATGAAGCTAGGGTATAATATCCTTGGGGAGAAGTTTCAATATAGATATCAATCAAATATGATTTATTTACAGCTGAAGGTGCACAAAAAATTCTCCAAGATAGGGACTAGTGAGTATATAGTAATTGCAAATTGCAAATCTTACAACTCCCTTGCATTTGAACTTTATTTACTTGAACTTAAATGTAATAGAATATGCATAGGCTTATTTTTTGCGGAATTACGCAACATTTGTGCCAGATTCATTTTCACACACATCTGCGCAGCACAATTCGGAGAAAAATTTTGCGCATTTTCAAGAAGTTTGCAAGGCAGGCCACACATTTAGTTCCAATGGAAAATTTAGAATGGACTTAGGAAAGAATCTATTTATAGATTTTTGGACTTTCAGTTTTTAAAATTATAAAAGTACATCCTCCTTGACAAAAGAAGGACACACACAAAGGTTTGCAAAAGTTGTTGGTTCTTTAATGTTTCAGAATACCTTTTGTACCCAGTTCATAATATTTTGATAAAACCTTTTGTGAACAGAGTAAAACTTATTGATTTCGGAATTAAAATGGATTTTTGCAGTGTTGGTTTGGCTGTTTATTCTAACTCTATTTTTGTAAATTTGCTATCATCTAGTGGACTAGGACTGGAAATGGTGTAATAAATGGAGAAAGCCATCCAAATAAACATTTATGAATGCCATTCTCTTTCACTAAAGCTTTCATTTTTCGCGAACACTCCCTTTAAATGAGTTAGATAATTTAAAACTTGTCCCAATGACTGCAACTGCTATGCTTTATCTGTTGACAAGGTTTACACCAAAAAAAATCTATCAAATATCTAAACTTGTATTTAAATCCAACAGTTCATTTTCTTCAATAATTTGGCCATTGACCTATTTCTTACAAATACTCAAATAGTAGAAATGTTCATCAAATTTTGCTGTGTGGTTTTATAGTTTAGCTTTTATTGGTATGATATGCTTGTGGTTTTGATTAAATCTGAAGCTTCCATATCTTTAATATATACCTCTAATTTAATTCAAGAACACTCTAAGCTTTTAAAATAGCATGAGACAAGTAAAACTTTACAATGAAGGTCCATTGTAATTCATAAAAGATACTTAATAAGAAATATTTTCAGAGGTACCAGTGGAATTGACATAGATCTTCGTAGAGTAGATATCAACCAGTGCCATATCAATGGAAGTTCCTTTAATATATTTGGAGGAACAGACAAATGTAAAAAGCAGACTACAACAGTAAGTTTAATTACCTTTGAAATGATTCTATACAGTGATAAAAATAAAAAATGATTTTTATTTTCCATTTTTCTTGCTAAAGATTTTTTTGTTATTTCGAGGAGTTGTATTTAATGAATAAGAAAAAGTATAGTTGATTTAGTGTTAGACTTTTATCAAAAAATCGAAAATTAAGCAAAAAAAAATTGCACGTACAATTAAACCAAAAAAAAAGAATTGGTCCAGTCCTGATGATTTCCATTTAGGTTGTTTTGTTTTAAATAGGAAAAAATTCAAGCAAAAGGCACAGCTTTCTTCTTCTATAGAGTTAAAAGCTGTTTACCAATCTCTGTGTTCTGTTTTAGTGTGTGCCACTAACTGGACTAGGGTTCCGGCGTGGAAGTTACTCGTGTGTTTGTAAAACTGGATTTTATTTCCCGGACACTTCTGCACAGTTGAAGTACTACAATGGGACCATTCTGGAGGAGGAGTACGAGCAGAAGCTAATGGTAAATAGAATAAAAGTGACTGATTCAGAGGACTCCTTCTTGTATTCTCTAAAAGTTTTTTTTTGCTGTATGACTATGCAAAATCTTTAACGATTTTTCAATGGTTTTTTAATAATGATTAATTTGGCTTCCCCATGACTTATACCGTCTTCCAGAGTCAAAATTTGGCATAATTTCTTAAAAAAATGAGCTAAAATCATGGAATATTTAAAACCGGTTAATAACAATGCCGAACTCATGGAACTAAGAGAAAATCATAGAATTTTCCGCACATTTTAAACACATGCCAATTTAGACTGAATTATTTTTGGACTTTCAATATTTTGAACAACTGCATGGACAGAATTGTAATTTTATCACTTAAAATGAAGAGTTGATTTGACTATCTGTTAATTTTAAGCCAAAAATAAACAGATTGATAAAATTAATAATATGTCTAGCCCTTGCCGGACTAGTGCCTCCAATTTATATATTTTAATTTTGAGTAAAAGTTGAAATTGCTTCTACCTGGATAAATTACAGTTTAAGCTTTCAATTGTTTACTTACATCTCAAGTTACAAGATTTTTGACAAACCATTGTTAAAACATGATATGGCTTACAGAAAAACTGATTTTTTCATGGGGCAAAATCCCTGCTTAGTTTAAAGAAACAAATTCTAAATCAATTTTTGAAGTATTATTAAACTTCTTATTTTATTCTAGGGTGTAAACTGGACCTTCTACGACGATCATGACTCTTTTCAATGCTTGGAGTGTGCTGAAGGGTGTGAGGAATGTGCTGATGCTTCTCCCTGCATTGTCTCATTGAATATGGTCTTACGAACTATTCTCTTAGTTCTTCAATGTGTTATTATAGGTAAGTTAGATTTCAGAAAAAAAGTGATTACTCATCAACAAAAACTCTAAGTTGCTAATCCTGATGGTTTAGAGTTTAGACCTTCGATATTCTAAAATATAAATTCTGCAAGATCAATAAGTCCACGTTTAGCTTTATAGATCGAGAAACTGGAAAGTCTGAGTTTGTGGCAAATACTTAACTAGTTTCTCTAACAAGAACACTTTTTTGTTATTAAAAATAAAAAGCATTAAATCTTTAACGATGACCTTGAATGTTAAATGGCAAACAATGAAAAGTATTTTGCATTTTTAAATATTTAATTTTGTATTCTTTAAAAAGGCGTAGCTATTAGCAATATTTAAAGATCAACAAGAACAAATTAAAGAATATTATTAATATTATTAATACAAGGCTTTTATGGCGCACAATTTGACACCTTTTACATAATTTTATAGCATTTTATCTTAAATATTTTTTGTCGGCATATATATTTTGAATGAAAAAGAAATAAAATAAAAAAATCTAAAGACTGTTGAGTTATAGACGAAAACACGTTTGATTTCAAATAAAAGAAACCAAATGTTTCTCTCTCGTTAGATCAAGGTGCATCCTCTATTTTAACTTTTAATTTTGAAAATTTCAGAAAATTCAAAATCTTTTGGATACTACTTTTTGTAATTCTGAGCATCCATAAACCTTTTCATATGAGGTCCCTAGGAATGGATCGTTTACACTTTTTTAAAAAAAATCGTTTCGTTTTGAAAATGAAAGAAAAAGCTAAAAACTAAACGTTAGTTATTAAAAAACGATTGATTTTGTCGTTTTCAAAAACGATTGTTTTTCGTTTTTGAAAGTTCAAATCGATTGATGCATTTTCAAATACAATCGTTTTTTTTCCAAAAACGAAAAAATCGTTTTTAGAAATCTAGATAAAACTATCGTTTTTCTAACGTTTTAAATCGATTAACAACCCTAGGTCCCACACAAAATTTGGTCCCAATCAGTTTAGTCGTTCTGACTTTTATTGAATACAAACACCCTGACAGACAATCAAAGTATTTATATTGATGAAATTAATTGATTTTGTATTTAGGATGCCTGCCAGTCGTAGTTCTCTTTACATACAAGTACAGGGAGCTCAAGGTAAATAACGAGGACGGATCCAATGTATTACTTATGAAGCTTATAAACAAATCTTGTTGCTTTTTGACAATTGGTCATAACTTACATACTATAGATACAAAAGGGAATGTGGGTGGATAATTTAAAACCCAATCAGCTCTATTTATTAAAGGGACTGTAAACATAATCTATATAAAGAGAGGAATATCTGAGTCCCAAAGCATAGTATCCACTAAACCTTTAAGTTACAATCAAGAAGATATCGCCGTTTTTTTTTAACATTATAAATATTATATTGTGATAATTTCCTACATTGTCTTTACAGCATTATTCCGTAAGTTAATTTTACAGAGATACCGCAATTAAAAATAATCAATTTGACTTGAAAGTACGTCTATAATCTCTCTAAAGAAATTAGATTTGGTTAGATAATTGTTTTTTAAGTTTTTTCAAACATTCAGTTTAAAATTTTCTCATTTGCAATTACCAACACTTGAGGAATCCATTTAAAAACTTATTTAATATAAAAAAGGAAATAAAGTTGTTTCTAAAAGGCTAAACTTTCCACAAAAGGAAAAAAATTATAAAGTTTCCAAAGTTTGTAGCCTTGATGTTATTTTCATTAATTATTAGTGTTGCCCTAACTATGAAGGGGTGGTTGTAGGGAAAAAAAAACATTTAAAAGTCTCAATTTCAGCATGACAGTTTCCAAATTATTGTAGTTAAAATGAATAGAACATTATCTTTCTCTGACAAACAAAAGCAAAATTTATAGAAATAAGTTACAGAGTATAAGAATATAAAATGTATTTATAATATTTATATAATATATATATTTACATTGAACATTTTCTTATTATTGTATTTTTATACTATCTTCATAAAATAAGTCTAAAACATTTGTTTACATGGTGTTTCATGTTTGACATTCATCAGCAGCATATGTTGCGGGATTAAAAAAAATACATTTGCACAAATTTTAACTAAATGAAATGGGTTAAAAATACAAATGTAAAGTTACAGTATAGTATGTATATATATAGATAAATATATTTTTAGGACTATTTTCCACTTAAAGGAGTAATATTTCGATTGGTGTTGACTGTTGATGCATATTCAATAACACTAAAAGTAATAAAGTGCCACATAGATCCAGACAGTTTGAAAAATTTCCAATTAATTGTCAATCTCACTGGCCTTGAAGTGTCCCAATACCATGATCCATGATTTCCTCTGTTCCTAGTTTCAATTTACAAGAAGGAATTTGCTAATCTGATATATTTGTACATGATAGTGTGACAGCTTGAATATCTTTTGCCTTTCTCCCCCCAAATTTTCTGAAAAATTTTGAAAAATTTTGTTCGAATTTTGGAAAATTCTTGAAAATGGTTACTGAAAATTTTGCAAAAATGATCCAATTTTTCGTTTTTTAATTTATTATCAAATCTGACTTAAGGAAAATTTGGAAACTCGATAGCCTATTTCTACGAAAGAATGCAAATACTTCATTCGCAAAATACCCACTTTTGCTTGGGGAATAATTTTAACTAAATAAAAACAATAATAATGTTCACTAATGAAACTTAAGCACAATAACACAGCTAATGATGTAATTCTTTTTTGGTCTCCATGTTTTACCTTTTCTTGGGTTTGGGAATAATATTTCTTTTAGATATTATCATATTTCTCATTTGTAAAATTTCAGTTCTTTATTCATTTTTTTCTTCAAATATTGAAATGCGTTTTTATAATTTTCTTGATTTAAAAAATTAATATTGAAATTATTAAGCTTAAATTTTGTATTTATTTAGAGGGAAAAAATTTAAGATAGTGCTGTAAACCTTATTTCAAGGGACACTCAATGATAAAATTATCTTGACTAAGGTTTTTAGAATGCCGTTGCCTCTCTTAGAATCACAACAGGCCCGTAACCAAGATTTTTCCAGGGGGGGTGCAAAGAAGCGCGCTGCAGGCGAAATTTTTTTTTGCTTTTTTAAAAGCAATGCTTGGTTTTTTTTACGGTGGTATATGGTTTTATTAATTACATTGTCAATGTACGCTATAAAGAATAACCTTTATAACAAGTGTATTTAAGCTTTTAAGGGTTACATTTTAGTATCTGAAACTTTTCAGTTTACATATACAATATGCATTAAAAATAAATGAATGGTACTTTAGCTTAAGGAAAAAATTCATTATTTAAAATCAAGGCTTCTTCTTGTCCCTCGGCCTCATCTTGATATTATGAAGATGAATAAAAAATAAAATTTCTAATATTTTGTTTAAAAGAGTTTATTTATTGACATTGAGACATTCTTAGTGAATTTTTGAGTACTCAAAAAAAAACCTTCTACTTTGACTAAAAATGACAAATATCCTCGCTTAAAATAATATTTTTGAAACTCCCAAAAATGGCTATTATATTCCAAAATAAATGGATGAATTTTTCCCTTTCAACCAACTGTTCAAACTTTAAAAAATGTTTTACTTTGTATAAGTTCTTGATTTCAGAGATGTCAAGTTTGACATCTCTGTGAATGTTGAGCATAGCCAAGCCACTTAGCCTTAGATTTTAGAAAATTATGAGTTACAATTTCTTTTATATGGGACGGGGGGGGGGTGCAAATTCGTCATTGCACCTTTTTCAGAAAAAAAGGGGTGCAGCCCCCCCTGGTTACGGGCCTGAATCACGAGGACAGTTCCTTTACGTGTATTCGTTTACATAATAATATCTTGAAAAATAAAGCTGTATCCTTTATATTTGCATTGAATAACGGACTATAACAATAAAGTGGTGCACAGTATATACTACAAATAATTCTAATGCTGAAGAAGATTTTCTGTGGTTAGATGCATAGATAATCTGGATTAATTAAATCATTCTTGGAAATTTGAATTAGAAATGGAATAAACTGTGGATAAGCCTCATCTTTTAGAAACAGATAAAGTTCGGCAGAATATTATTTTTAAGGGATTCGTTTTTTATTACTGATTATTACTGCCTAAATCATTAGTCCATGTCAAAATCTTCATTTTTACGTCTTTTTCAAAATTTGAAGCATTTTAAAACATTTCAACTATTTATTAAATTGTATTTTCAAAATAAATTTAGCGTCTGTTCATTGTGAACTAATAGAAATTACAGTTTGGGAAATAACAAATTGGTAACATAACATCATATAATTCAAATGAATATAATATTATATTAATTTTAATAACAATGATTTCCTTTTTGAAAGTTTTAGGCAAATCTAAATGTACATTTTTATTTCTTAAATGTTCTAGGTTGTAAAAGCTGCAAGTCCTGTTCTTCTTAGGATCATTATTCTTGGAGCTTTCTTCATTTATAGCACGGTAAGGTTTAATATCTTTATTTATAGCAGGGTCAGGTTTAGTAATATGTTTATTTATGGGACGGTAAGGTTTTATATGTTTATTTATAGCAGGGTCAGGTTTAATAATATGTTTATTTATAGCATGGTAAGGTTAAATATGTTTATTTATAGCACGGTAAGGTTTAATATGTTTATTTATAGCACGGTAAGGTTTAATATCTTTATTTATAGCAGGATCAAGTTTAATAATATGTTTATTTGTAGCACGGTGAGGTTTAATATGTTTATGTATATCAAAGTAAGGTTTTATATGTTTATTTATAGCATACTAAGGTTTAATATGCTCATTTATGGTAGGGTTTGTTGTATACGTTTATTTATAGCATGGTAAGGTTTAATATGTTTATTTATTGCACAGTAGAGTCAATAAAGCATGGGGAATTAAAAGACTTTGAAGAAAAAGTGGTTTGTCCGATTCAATATCAACATATTATGAGTTTAAAAAAGTTTTGAAAAAAAACATTAAAAAGTTTGTTTTCTATGATTCCCCAAAAAATAAAGACATACTTTCAAGATAAAAACAAATTTTCTTCGGAGAAAATAGCCATTTCTGACCAATTAAAGGCATGGTACCATTGTGAACCATTCAAGAACATATTTTAACAATGGGATATCAATTTATCAGATGCACTTTAGATGTAAATTGACTAATACTAAGGTTAAGTGACAATTGCTTCTTGTAAATCTTTTTATTCTATTCAATCTATATTTTGATAAATCATTTATATTTTCATCAGTTCTTATACACGATACGTTTATTTGTATTGATTTTCGCTTTTACATTTTTCCTTTTATTCCTTTTTTAAGTTATTTTATAATTCTAAAACTTTAGGACGCTTCGTGTCTAATGCCCATCTTCTATTTCAACTGTGAGCGGCTTTAAGCTTTTAGCATCTTCTCTTTGCATGAACAGTATTTTTTTTAAGTTTGCGGATTTCATAATATTTTTTTGCGCTTTTTCAAAATTTTACAAAAATAAAAAACTTTTAAACACAAATTTTTGAAGTTTTGATCATTCATAAATCGAAACCTTCCCTGGGGTCACATGATCTCCAAAACAAAATTTGGTCCCAATCGGTTCAGCTGTTTTGACGTTTATTGGATACAAACAAACAGACAAGCTAAATTTATATAAAGATTTTGTCTGTCTTCCATTTTACCAACATTACATTAACTTTTCTTATAATTAATAATCTCAAGACACATTCTCATATTTTCTTCTGATTTCTTTTTCTATTTTTGTCACACCCTTCATACTTAACTTTATTATAAAAATGCTTTCAAGTAGCTTAAACCCACTACTCTTTGAACTTTTGCTAGCTTTGTAATTTAACTTTCTATGCTATCATTTTTTCTGCGTACTTCATAAAACTAAATAAACTTGAAGATTTTTATTCTAGATTCTCTTTTTTATGTTACTCTTTCTTTTGATATATTCTTTATCTGACTAAAATTCTTCCATCCTTTGTGTTTGCAAATCTTTTGGAAAATTAGAAAAGTCCATTATGAAAAGCGATCAATTTGGAATTTTTAAGGCTCGAAGCAAAATCCTTTTAAGATGTGAAATGAAAGTTTTGAAAAGATGGATGTCGGATCCATAAAGTTTATTTCAACCATAGATTTAACAGATAGAACACGAGTAAAGGTATAAAGACCGGTCAATATGCACAAATGTGCAGTAGTAAAGGGAGATGAAAAAGAAAAAATTATATTCTTTTATCTTACCATGTTCAAGGATAAACTGACCTAAAATTATATATTTTTATGTTACCATGTTCAAAGATAAACTGACCTAAAATGATATATTTTTATGTTACCATGTTCAAGGATAAACTGACCTAAAATTATATATTTTTATGTTACCATGTTCAAGGATAAACTGACCTAAAAGAAACTGCCTCAAACACTGATACTAAAATCCCGATATCTTTGCAACACAACTTTGCAGACTATCAATAGTTTGAAATACTAAAGGTTTAAGCGATTAGGTTACAAAGATAAAGGGATTCAAAACGTTTTTTTAGCGCTCTCTTTGTTATTCATGGTTTTTAGCGAGTGCAACATATTACAAATAAGTTTGTAATAAGCAAACATAATCCCAAAAAAAACAATTATTAAAAAACTAAAAAGTTAATTTAACTTTATATAAAGCTAAAAGTTATGAAGTTAAAAATATTTATAAATCTTTTATTTTTTTTTATCTAAGATCAACAAAAAAGCGTTTTGATACTACAATCATACTGTTTACTCTGCTGGAATTTGATTTTTTTTATATTATAGAAATAATACCAATATATTTATTCAGAGAAAAAATGGCAATTTTTTCTTTTCTAATTAAAACATTTATTTTTTTTAATGCAAAGTTAAATAAAATAAAATAACCAAAAAACATAATATTTATCAACATTTAAAGGATTAACACAATTAAAAAAATTAGATCTTTCTGAAACTTTTGGACACAACTACTTTGTAAAAACTAATAGTAGAATATTTTTAAAATTTGGTTAGGTTAGTGTCGGTCGTCTTCTTCGTTGTTTTCGCAGAATCGCACATCGCAAAAATTAATTCTCATTCTCAGATCTTGCTTCAAAAATAAATTTAGAATTAGAATTAAAGTTGTGATTTTTACAAAATATAATGTTGCTGGTTTTCTCCAATTTTGAATCTGATCTTAATCAAATATTAATCAGGCCGGTAAAGTGAGCAAGGCCCAAAAAAAACCTTGGTTTTATGGGGCCAAAAAAATGCAAACCAAACATTGCAATCTGTTTTAAGATAAAGTTTATCCACAACGATATTAAAGTTATGCATTTCTACCGGCAAATTACTAAAAAAAAACAAGTTTTTGGTGAGAGATATGCTTAAAAGACCTAAAATATTTTTGAATTATAGAAAATTCGTCATTCTGTGGCTTTTTCACTAAACCAATTGAGGCGTCTGGATTCGCGTTTCCCAATGCCTCATCTTTATATTATTCTATTTTTATTATTATATGGAAAATACTACTTTATGTATAAAAATAGGTTTGTTAATCGTTTTTTTAATAGGATCATTAAACGATCGTTTTTTGTTTCGTTTGTAAAAAAGGCCCGCTTGTTTTGAACTTTTAGAAAACGAGTAACGATCGTTTTTGAAAACGATCGTCTTTATAATAACGATAAGCGACTGTTCTTTATACGATCGTTTTTAAAAAAACGATCGTTTTTTTAAAAAAAAGATAGTTTTCGAAAAATTGTCATCGATAAATATGTTAACGAAGGGTCGTCGATTACGATCGTTAACGAAACAAAGAACTTTATAACAACGGTCGTTATAAAAACAATAACTTTTTAGGAAAAAAATGTTATTGATAAATATGCAACTTTATCGAATGTCGTCTTTAATGCAGGTGAAAGGTTGTGTGGGAGTTAAAACTTCTTGATATTTTCTTTTAAACTACTAAATGATAAGTACTGATACCCTTCAGTTCTGTTTCCTCTTTCCTCTTCTCTTCGTTAACGATTGTTAACGATCGTTTTTAACCCTATTCCTGCTGGGGGGGGGGGGACAATTTGACCCCCCCTGTAGTTTTTTTACATAACTCAAAAAGTGTTGGTCTGAGGCTGTTGAAATTTTCTGACTTTTCTTACATACCCAAAGCCCTCCCTTTAGGCCTAAAACCGGGCTTTAATACTAACTTGCCTGAGTCCTCAGGCACACTGCCTGAATGACTGCTTTTTCCTGTAACTAACTAAATCTTTGTTTTGACCCACTTCCACTTGTCAGATTTTGATAAAATTTAGCTTTTTGGAAAGCCTTTGACACAAGGAAACGAATTGCACAAGTTTTGCGAAAAAAATTGCAAAATTTTTGCAAACAACCTGTCTAAGGAAATTTGCATATTTTTAGTTTTTCCTGCTTAAAAATCAGGTTATTTAAAATTTTGAAAATTTTTTTGCATATTTGAAATGGCATGGTCAAGGGCTTTTCAAAAATGTATAATTTTTCATTTTTTGGACAAATTTTTTTTGCAAACATTTTTACTATATAACTGGATTTTGCGATAAAAAAATCAATTTTTGCGATTTTGCAATTTTTTTGCAAATTCTAAAAGTAGAGCACAAGAGCTTTCCAATGATGTATCATTTGTCATATTTGGACATCAACCATGGGATTTAGAGGGGGGGGGGTCAAATTGACCCCCCCCCCCAGCATATCCTGGGTTTCAAGTACCCCAGCAGAGATAGGGTTAAAAAACGACCACTTTTTAAAAATCTATTTTTTAAACGAACATTATTCGTTTTTTTTTCGTTGTCGTTTTCATCGCAAAACGATCGTTTTTCAAAAAGATATATAGATGACAAAAAATCGAAATTGAGATTATGAATTTGCTCCAGACAACATTGTTACAGTTTTTTTTAACTCATGCCGTTTTTTATTCAAAAACATTTCCATAGAAAATACGCATGCAAATGTTAGCTATACTGATTTTGTAATACAATAATGAAATCTTGGAGCACGATTATTTGCTATCAACTCACTTCCTCACTAGCCTTACTTGATATCCCCTCACTTGTTATCAACTCACTTGCTATCAACTCACTTGCTATCAACTCACTTGCTATCAACTCACTTGCTATCAACTCACTTGCTATCAACTCACTTGCTATCATTTCACTTACTATCTGTTTCACTTGCTATCTGTTTCACTTGCTCTCAGCCTCACTTGCTATCCGGCCTCAACTGCTATCGACATACTTGCTATCAGGTCAATTTGCTATCAGGCCTCACTTGCTATAAAAAATTTGCTCTCCAGTCTCAACTGCTATCAATGCTCATCTGCTATCCAAAACTAGTTACTATCCAAATACGTTGCAATCAAAATAGTAGTTGTGTTTCTAAATAAGTTGCTATTAAAACCAGTTCTTAGTTTATATTACGAAACCAGTTTATATATGGTTGTTCAAATAATATCAATTT